TTAAATCCATCTAAGCTCTTGCCTAGATCTCGCCTAGGCACCTAGCTACTAGGTTCCAATCCATTGTTTGACTACCGCCTAATATTTTAAGAGGATCTAATCCTAGCCAATTTAAGCTTCCATTGGCTTTGATATTATTGCTTACAACCGTTTTGATGGAAATACTATTTTTTGTTATGAATATTGACTCAAAACTTTACACTCTCCAATGTGAAAGCAACCGCTTCGATTAAACTTTGCATTCTTTTGAATTTCGCCCCTCCCCTGGGCAAATCTTGGCTTCGCCACTGCATCGCAACTAGAAAATTTAGTTGATATATCATATATAGGAATTTGTCTAAACTATGAGTTCTAATTTAATATATCTTCATTAGGAAGTCTTTTTCTTGGACAACTGTAAGAATGAATATTTAGAAACGAAATCAATATCATCCACCACTCAACTTTGACATGGCTTTTAATTAGTGCACATCTGATGGATATATACGGGCCAAATATGTGCCTGCCAACTAGTCGATGTATGCATATTAACGAAAGACATTCACAGGAAATACACGCCACTCATGTTAACTCGATCCAAATCCCTTCGTGTTATTGTCATGCATCTAAATTTTTCGCATGATCCCAAAATGTCTACATATATGTTGTAGTTTATATGGCAAAATAAATCTGAAATCAACTTAAAAGACATAAATTCGACAATACTTGGAAAACTTTGAATTTGGTCTGATTTGAGCCCGCGACTCATTGTTTCGAAGAGAACGTTATCATGAATCCAACATAATGCTTTGCTGTGACATGAGCTTTTTCAACCGAATTCTATCAATTAAAATGTGTAATAGGATTCTAAGTTTTTAGGATATTTTCGAGATTTTGTTATTTGTTTAATTCATTTCTTATTTGAACTCTTATAAAGTTGAGGACTAAAAGACACCATACAAACCTCCTTTAGGGTACTAGGGTTTGTTATCTACCATATTATCAATCAATAAACTTTGACCCTCTTTCTCTAATGATTTCCGATTTCCTCATCCTTAAAGTTTTAATTTGATACTTTTTTTGTCGTTGAGTCTCCTTTGCTCTTGCTGCATGAAAGTAATAATAATATCATAGCCCATCGAGACAATTGAGAAATTGGATACAGCTTGATCCTTTTACTTGCTACATCCACATGCTTCACACAAAACTAAATTATTTGAAAATAGCGTAATTACTAGTTAAGAATCGATATTATATGGTATCAAACATTTACGTGCAACACAAGTTTGTCCATCAGCTCCCTATACTTTCCTGGATTCGATAGTATAATTAATAAACTAATATATTGGTTAAAAAACTAAATTTTCCAGTAAGCAAGCATAATCCAAGAAGATTAAAATAATGCGGATAAAATTTTAAAGAATAAAAGTTCAAATGAAGAAAGTGTTGAAAGGGTGATGGAACTGGAAGGAAGCGAGAGATTTTCAATGTGCTTGGAACACAGGACGGTACATTACATATCTTTATACAATTAGAATGACACTTCAAGAAAAAAAAAAACTTTCCTCCACTTATAAAAAGACATATATAGTATCGTTTCGTGTTCCAATTACATTAAAAAATCTAAGCATCAGTCTCCATCAAGTAGTTATGCTGAGAAACCTAACTCGGAAATTAAAGAAGCTTATCTGACAACCACTAGGACTCCGTGATGATTATTTATCTGTATATTATGAATGCTAATCCCACAAATAGATAATTAAAAATGATGGCCTTGAGTATGCAGTCATGATTAGGAACAATCAAAAACATTTAAATGGTAGGAAATGCTTGCATCAATGATAGCAAATCCATTGTCATTTTCCCATTCCTCAAATTCATCATCCTTCCTCCATAACCCTAGCTGTACAACTAGTGTTTGGTTCATCATAGTTATGAGGGTAGGAATAACTTTTAAAAGTAGAGTCTACATGTATTGGATTGGTATTGCTGTGGCCGTAAATTCTAAAATGGACTGGCATCATGCTATGATTCAAGATTCTTAGTTGTTGTGTCGTTGATTAAAAATTCTGAATCATGGTATGAACCGGTCCATTTATAAAATCCCTACTATGGCTAGCAAGTATGTAGCAACTTGGGATTGAAAAAGTAATCACTTTGAAGCGTGGTCCTAAACATGAAATTCCAAGTGCATGCAAGCTCATGAACATAATCACTACCAGCAGTACTCTTTGTTGCCTTTTGTAGCAGGGTCCAAGGGAGGAATTTGTGGGAAATGTCTCTAGACTTTTTATTGTGCGGCCAATTCTTAAGAAAGGGATTGGTCTTTTGCATATAACTAGTCAACGTCATATATCCAATTCAAGTTTATAAGTTTGTGTTTGTTAAGAGTATACAATTATTTGAAAGTAACATATGAGAGTTTTGGCATTCCTGATTCCTCCAATCCAAGAGTACACAATTATTTCTGAAAGTAACATATGAGAGTTTAGGGTTTTCATTTTTGCTACGTGTCCCCATAGCCTATTGCAGGCCGGTCCTGTATTCTATCTGATGGACAGTAATGACTTCAAGGTTGGTCTGTAAGTCCTAATCCAGTTCAGAAATATGGGTCAGGCTAACCCAATTGTAAAAACCAAACCTTTGAGGTCTGACTTTTTCTTCCGTAGATCGATCAAACCTCAGGGGGTTCTTGTGCCACCAACATCGTTACTAAGATGGAGCTCTCAAGCAATGATGGAGCTAATATGGGGTTATTGGCTGCTCATTAAATTGTCATATTCTTTGTACACTGAAAAATTGTTTGTGAGTAACATAACAAAGGTTGGCATAACCTCTCATGGATTTATTTGTTTGAAAAAGGCTAACCTTTACCTTTTCAATCTATTCTGCAACCACATTTTTCTCTTTGGAAAAATAGAATTCCTCAAGGGGTGATGCTCAAACAGCTAGATAGCTAGGACGCCTCTACAAAGTGTAACATTAAGAGAGCGGATATATACTTGGATCATTCATATATGTGAACTTGTGATGCTTTGGTTTTCCTTTTTCTTATAATAATTGGGCAGAATAAATACCTTAGTAGAAAAATGAGAGTCTGATGCTTAGCTAAAGTTCAAAGTTTCCCCAGGAGAGATTCCCAAAACCAACACAGCAAGCAATCCCAAGAACAATGCATGCATTTTTAATCACAACCTCTTTAGCTTAACACTCGCACATCAAAATTAAAGGAACGAAGTAGAAGATATTAATCCATCAACACTCATCCTTAATTCCCAATATTAATTAACTTCACCGTCATCTGTCCTTTGATCACTTAATTGCAATGCAAACTACTATAAACTATAGGTACGAACGATCAGCCTCTAGGTTGACAGTAGGTGCACACTTGTTTGGCATCTTAGCACTCATACTCTTGCTTGTTTGGCTCCTGCATTACCGTGGTGGCATCGACTATGATTCTGATAATTCAGATCGAGTTTTCAATGTAAGTGATCATTAAACCATCACATACCCAGCCAGTACCATTTGCTTGCTTAATAGTGGCTCAAGTTAAAGTTAGAGTCGTTTCCTCAATTTGGCAGGTTCATCCGTTTCTTATGTTCTTCGGATTTATTTTCTTTGCTGGTGAAGGTACGTACATATTAGGGTACTACGGTTTAATTTCTTATGCTTAACTACTAGTATCTGAACGAAATATTATTGCATGTATTTGATACACCAGCGATGATGGCATACAAGACCGTAATGTCGAGACACAATGTGCAGAAGTACGTTCACGCCCTCTTACATCTGGTAGCTCCATGTTCCGGGATATTTGGGATCTGCGCTACTTTCAGATACCATGACATGAGGGACATAGATAAATGACATGTATTCCCTGCATTCATGGATTGGCTTGACCACCTTTATCTTGTACGGTTTGCAGGTACGTACGTATAAGTGATAACGATAACTTCATTAATTAGTTAATTAAAGTAAATATATTGTTCCTTAATTACTTAATTAAGCATGTATGCATGGTTTGATTTGGCATGCAGTGGCTGTTTGGAGCTGCTACGTTCTTGTTTTCAAGAGGTATGTCAGAGTCGTCGAGGCTCAGAAGAGTTCCATGGCATATGAGTATAGGTAGGGCACTGCTGTACTAGTCGATCTGTGCTGCCCTAGCTGGTCTGATGGAGAAATTCACATTCCTTAGAATTTCGAATGTGCTGGGTCGCAGGGAATCACACTTGATCAATTTCACTGGACTATCAATCCTCCTGTTTGGCATCTTCGTCGATCTCTCTGTCGCTCTTGCCCGTTATGTGTGATATATAGTTTCTTAATTTAATTTCAATCCTTTTTTTTTTCAGCTGGATTATTCAGTTGAAGACATTGGTTTGGTGTTATATATAATGTTAATTATTTCATATGTATAATCCTTTTTTCTTTTGGTGTGATTAATTTGAGCGAATTTATGTATTCGAGGGTTCATGTGTAAGACCAATATATTCATTATGATATGAATTCAATTATTTTTCTATTAATGATCAGGTAATGTGTTGATTCCTTAATCGGTTAAGTTTGTAAATTGTATCAGTCCCTAATAACTGGAATCTTTTCTAACACAATTTACTTAGAGCATCACCCCCTAATAGTCTGTATCTTCAATGATGATGTGATATGATTTTATCGTACAAACATCATGATTAGAATCATTTATTTTCTTAATCATATTCTAAAGATAATTTTTATAAAAGTTTATTCAACTTAGAGACCGTATACCTAGAAAATGTACCTGCTTGATTGGGGTGCTTTGTAAATGTGATTGACGACGACTTAATTTAGCCGTACGTGACACACAGAAACAGAATGCAAAACAGACATAGTCGAAGCTTTTGGCCTGGCCACCTAAAAAGATCAGCCGGCTAGACGGTTTTCCATATTCCAAATGCTTGGCGGCATCGATCCTTCCATATTCCAAACATTGTTTAGTTTGGGCAAATAAAATTCTAAATCTTTACTTTGATTTCATCCAAACTTCCATGCTTTTCTCGTCGACACCGTTTCTCTTGTGATTTAAATACAGTCATAGTAAAGCTTGTAGCTCTTGAGAGGATTACGCTCACACGTTACAACAATGGCAGCTAAGAGTCGTAGCTACCAAATATCAGCAATCCCAGCTACAATATTTGGGCATTTGCTAGCTATAGCCATAACAATCCTGGTTCTTGTTTGGATCCTAAAGTTCCGCGGTGGCTTCGCTCTCGAAACCCTCATCAAAGAGAAAATTATAAATGTACGTTTCGTAAATTTTTAAATCTTGCATACGTATACTATATGTTCATATCATAAGTGAAGTTTATATGATCATATCCTTCATCTCATCATATTCTTCCTCTCATCTTTCACAGGTTCATACGTTTCTAATGGTGGTTGGGTTTATATTGATCGGTGGAGAAGGTAATCATATTGGAGCTCACTAGGTCAAAAAAATGTGTCTATAACCTTGCTAGCACAAATGTGCCCTCTTCGCAGTTCATATTAGTTTAAACTAGACTATCGTTTATATAAAAAAACATTGCTAAACATCCCTAGAATATTAAGGACTGATCTGATGGGGTAGCAATTGATTGGTGCAGCAATCATGGCATACAAGACAGTCCAAGGGGAAAGGAACACGCAAAAAGGGGCGCACCTGATATTGCATCTTCTAGCTCTGGTGGCTATAATTTTTGGGCTTTACTGTGCCATCAAGTTTGATCACGAATCCGGAGTTCAACATTTTCTTACTTTACATTCCTGGCTCGGCATAATCACCATCTCATTATTTGGTCTTCAGGTAATACCGACACCTTATGATACTTAAAATATGTCAACACCTTATGGTGTCATGCCACTTTTGAGGGAGAAGTGCCTCTTAACTAAATGATCATACACTTATATTGTTGCTTGTTTTCCAGTATTTGTTTGGCTTCGTTCTGTATGTGTTTCCGGGTGGCGACAAGTCGTCGAGGGGAAATTTTATGCCATGGCACACATTTTTCGGGATGGTGATATTTCTTCTAGCAGTGTGCACGGCTGAGACGGGGTTGCTGGAGAGGTTCTTTTTCTTGGGCGTAATAAAAATGAATGAACAAGTACTTATAGTCAACTTCATTGGCCTTTTGCTCTTTCTCTTTGCAGCCACCGTCAGCCTCACCGTCCTCCTCCCTGGGTCTTACTAATTGATCATACCAATTCTTCATCTTTACCTGAGTATTTTCTCTTGTCAATATGTTGTTTTGAGACGAATTAGTTTTGTTGTGTTATTTTTATACAACGTTATATTTACGCTAAGAAGTGGAAAATAACAGTGAATAGTAGTCTTAGGGCTCGTTGGAAATGCTTTTAAAATAACTTCTAAACGAGCTCTTAAAAGTACTTCTAAACGAGCTCTTAAATATTAGTTCATAAGGCTAAAATAACTTCTAAACGAGCTCTTAAAAGTACTTCTAAATGAGCTCTTAAATATTAGTTCATTTCCACATTCATAAAAATTTGTTAAGCCAGATGGATAGCCTATTTGTATACTTAAATTAATAAAGCAATGAACATTCAAGAAAGATTATTCTCATCTTACTTTACATCGTAAAAGTATAGACGATTTATTAAAAAAAATTGAAAGTAGATCAGTACCATTTTACTTTTAGCATAAGTTTCTCATTCTTTTCAACATGTGTATATGTTATATTTTGCAAATCTACAATCGCAAAGTAAGATGCTTGTAATTTAAGTGATCACCAATATTTGCTTTTATATTCGAGATCTGTGTTTGAATCTGCTTCCAATATAAAAACAAAACCTGAAATCACTAAGTAATGATGGTGTTTCTGAACCCACAACATTATTAGTTTTAACAATGGTGGAAGTGGTGGCACCAATGCAGTTTTTCTTGGCGCAAGCGGAGTTTGCATACAGACTTTTTTCTCACCGTGTGATTTGATCAAGCGGCTGAAACTGAGTGATTTGGTGACCGGTTTTGATACAAAGTGGGAAGTTTTTGTGTAAAAAAATAGGCGGTTGTGATGCAAAATAGGATATTTTGTGTAAAAAATAGCGGTGATTCAGGTGTTTTTGAATAAGATGGAGCAAATCTTTGCATTAGAAAACAAAGGCTCTATACAATGCCTTGCACTAGAAGATATGTCCTTGCATTGTTTATATAAGGTTGTGCACACATAGGTGCTATGTAATGTGCCACCGTTGAGCGCTATAATATATATATATATATATATATTTTTTTTTTTTTTGTCGTTATGGAGAAATTCTTGTGTTCACCAGTGGACAACCTCGTTCGTACGGCCACACGTGAAATTTTGTAATGGACTACAATGCAGAAGGTCTCACTTAATTGTGTGTATGAGCATACGAAAGACAATCTTCCTCCAGACGGACACAAGAATCTCTCGTTGCTATGGCAAAGAGGTAGAGGGAGGCCGTGTGCAGCGTTGCTCTGCTCAACCACTGTTATCCAGTTGAAATTTTTTAGTGTGCTGGAAACGCGGCCCGTACACTACATGTCATAAACTAACTTGTAATATGACACTTGATATACCAAACTGTGTTCCTAGCACACTGGAAAATCTCTCGTTATCCAGGTAGAGCATATGCAGATGGAATGATGCCAGCACTAGCTATATAATCAATTGAAGAATAAAGTTTGAATTCCACAACTGCGAGACAATCTTTCACTTTGATTAAAATAACAAGCAGAATCCAAAACTGAATAACACTCATCAATATACTTAACACAGTCAGCACCATTGTTAAAAAAGAATTAAATACAGAAACTAGGCCCGTTGCTGCTTTGTTGCTTCCATTCTCTCCAACAAGCCAGCAATCTCAGCTTGCATTCTAGTTTTCATGTTGTAGTAATCGCAATGTGAACTTTCCAAAATTTTCAGCTCCTCCAGTTTCTTCCTTCGCTTTTCCTCCGTCTCTTTCAGACAGAATTTGGAAAACTTTCCGGCGTACTCTTCCTCCAGCTTCTCTGTCTTCGTCTGTATCATCTGATGGTACCCTTCTGCCTCTCTCCGAGCTTCATCAGCCTTGCTCTGGAACATTCTAGCTTCCGCTTCCTTTATCCTCACTATGCTTTCCAAGCTCTCAAACCCGTCTATTTTTGGAAATGTTCCAAACTGGAACTCATCCTCATTGCTTATATGGGACGATTTGAGGGGGTTCTGACGGGTATCATTAGACAGTGAATCACATTGCATACTAGAACTTGTGTTGTAAACAGCATATTTCGGAGGTACAGAAACAGATTGTGAAAAAGGGGTCGAATCTTTTCTCAGGCCGGCTTGAGAAGCAGCCAACTCTTTTGTGGATAAGGTAGAAGCAGGATATTCTGACACTCCATCTGTATCTATTTAAAAGGAAAAGCAAATCCAGATTTAGGCATGAACAGATACTGAATAACACATATATCTAAGTCGAGGAAGAAACATTTAGAATGAGTATATAAGCAAACATTTCAACTCAAGCTGCATCGAGGACATTCAAATCAAAAGTGAAATGAAAAGGAAAGAAGAAAATAGGCCAACACAACAAAAAAGTAAGCTGTAGAGATTAAAATGGTTTTTAACAGCCACAGGCATATGATCCTCACTGTAGCTATGCAGACAGCCAGTCACAAGCCTCAAGTAATCAACTCAGAGTATTCTATTTGACATAGTTCATATTACGCTAGCCTCCAATACGTGCATAGAATTCTACCCAATCAAGTTCCTTCAGTAATTGTTTTCTAATTTGATAAAGTAACATTTGCTACAGTAGAATACGGCGAGCTGAAGATTATATAGAATTATCATCTCTATGGTTTTATATTCAACATGTGAAGAAATAAAAGGTTGTGTGGTGTTTCTAATACAAAGATTGCTAGTTACGTTTTCTCCAAGACACTCTTTATCATCTACCTTAACATTCCACTTTGGTACATCAATACATTGCCCTTGTTTTACATTAATGCCCAACATTTGTCCCATAAATAGTAGCTGACCAAATGGCAATTCGTAGAATTTTTCGTTTACATCTATTTAGTATGTTTTTTGTCACAATAGTTATAAGATCATTCTTAACATGCAAGGAATAAGCCACACTGATGCATAAGCAGTTCATACTCCGCAACGGGACTAGCAGAAGACAAACAAATTGAACGTAACAGAATAACATACAAGTTGAAATAGAAAACCGAAGAGGGTGACTTACAGTTAAAGAACTGAATAATGAAACTGCAGGCGTCTGATGGAGACATCAATTGGCTTCCAAGCTTGGAGATGATCTCCTCAGCCTTAATATGCAGTTCCCGGCCTATAAAATCATCACTTCTCCTAAAAATCTTCTTAACACAGTCAAGCTCCTTGATAAGGGTCTCTAGTCCCCAGTCTTTTGCACAGCACAGAAACACATCCTTAACAAAACCAAACATTTCTGAAGCATGGCCGCATCCTATGCAATGAAATTGCATCTCAGTTGTCCCAGAGGGACCTTTCAAGCTAGGACCTGGTTTGATGAGGTTCCTCTGAATACCACAAGCAGCATGACACCAATGCGAACAAACATCACAGCCAACCCAACCACAAGTATTATTGGCACAGTCGAAATTCAAACACACAGGACACATACAGGAACTACAAAACCCCTTATTGGCAGAGCAAATTTTGCAGTCACAATCATCAACAGGCAATAAGCTCTTGCAATTCACATTCTTACACCTCATAAACGAGAAAATCTCCACCAGCTCAGTTGCTGGAAGGCGGTTTTTCCCAGATACAAAGTTCCCGAGTCCCATTTTCACAGCAACCAACATCTCCAATTGATCCTTCTGACATTTAGAAAGATTCTCCTTTGTAAGATCAGACCTTCTCTGAAGCCGGTTTTGAAGGCTCACCAATTCTTCCTTCTTCTCCGGCGTGGATATCAGATTCTTCAAGTATTCCTTAGTTGATAAGAGCATTTCCTCAGGAAGTTCTTGAATTGTCTGAGCCATGACAGTAGCAGATTCCGAAACAATTTCGCGAAGAATTCTCTCCGGTCTAGAAAGTTTCCTGGCTCTCCCACCATCCATACCCTCCAATCCTCTCAAACTTTCAGAACCTCTCCCTCTAGAATCCCCAGAAAGGGTATCGATTGTCGGCTTAGCAGGCAATTCAGATGGAAAAAAGGAAAGGTTATCAGAGCTAGTTGTCCTATAAACACTGTTATTATTACAAGAATCCTTACGATTACCCAGCATCATTGACAAAATCCCGCCCCCGTGATTCGACAAACCAACTCCATCTCCAATCGGCTTAAACCTGCTATGAACAGACCCATTAGTGCCCTCCCCACAGTTCCAAATTTGATCATCTTTCCCAACAGAAGACTCGAAATCCGTCGAATTTCGGGTAAGCGAGCAACTGGGGTTGTGGGAAAATGGGTGGGAGTAAGAGTACGACAATGAAGCTGCTGTGAAATCATTGGAGCAAGTTGTCTGTGTGTTGTTAGCAGACGGCGCCAACGACTGTATGCTTCTGCTCGGCCGCGGCATCGCCGGAGGATCGCCATTCTGCAAGGCGTTTGAGGCGGTGAGAGAGAAAGATACCTCCGGCAAGGCTAGAGAGAGATTCAAAGTCTCGAGCTTTGGCTTCTTGTCGTCCCTGCTTTCTCTCTCCGCTTCCTCAGCAAGCTCTCTCTTCGAGCAATTCAACCTGGTTTCGTTCAAATTAAGGAAATCTCTCTCTACCCATTTGTTAGAATTCTCCGAAACCATGGCTTCTTTGCCTTTGAAACTCTCTTTCTCCAACGAAGTCAGCAAATTTGCGCCGGCGAACTCCTTCTCGAGAAAACCCAGTTTGGAACTGTCGCAGAGGTAGCTGAGAGTCAGCTCCTGGGAACTTAAATTTCCAGTCTTTGAGGGTTTTGATTGGAACCCATCAGAACCCATGTCTGAGTCTCTGAGAAACCCGAACCCCTTTTCGGAGAATCCCATTTTATCTTCTGGGTTGTGTTTGTTTTGCTTGGAGATATGGCGAGTGACCTTGCTCTGAGACGCCTCGTCGGTGGCAAGATTCCCATTCGCTCGATCCATGTCACCAAATACGGCCTTATTCACAAAGAGAAGGAGAGAGGGAGAGAGGGAGAGAGTGAGAGGACTTACCAGGTAAGAGAGAGAGATATAGAAAGTGTGTCTGTGAAGACGAAGTGAAAGAGAAACAGAGAGGAAAAGGTCTACAGGGGCTGTTTGGAAATTAGTAAAGAATCTGGGGGTGTGTTTGTCAACTGATTCCTTCAGCACACCATTACTGAAATCTCAGTATCCGTAAATCTGCAACGGGAGGCGCCCTAGCGGCTGGATTTTTCAAGCGTTTTCACCGCAAAACGGCGATACGTTTTTCTGGCCTTGATCTGAAATTACCGAACTGGCCATCTGAATTTGGTGGAATTACTCTATGCAATGCTTTGAGTCATCTTTTTCTTGGTAAATACCTTGACTGGAGTCCGGGGGTGGTGCTGCAGGAAGGGGACGACTTTTTGTATTTTTGGAGAAAAATATGAATTAACATTTAATTAGAGCATAATTAACGTTCAACATCCTTAAAAAGGTGCTTAATTGCTTTCAATTATGAGTCAAATTTTAGCTAGTATTTTCTAGCGGCGGATATTCAAACGGTACTTCATATGTCATAATATAAGTATAGATAATTTAGATTTTTGTATTCTTATTCTTATATTATGATACATGGAGTACCCCTTGAATATTATACACTTTGAAGGTTTTCTCCTTTCCTTCCTGGTAAAGGGTCACAAGTTCAAGAAATATTCATGTAAATGTTATAATGAATTAAGGACACTGTTAATAAATTAACTTTTAAAATAGTATCACGGTCTAATAATATTTTTCTTTATTTATAAAATTATGGCTCTCGGAAACGATGAGTTATATACCCTCCATTATATAAATGTTGTTACAAAGTACACTGACAATATCAACTTACCTCAATTGCCATTTTTCATCGAAAGGGAAGTGTGCAATAAGGAAAATGTCATGGACTTTCTGAAAATTTGGGGACATTAATAATGTAGCTTAATTGCTACCTGAATTCGGAGCTAAGATGTTATTGGTCAAATGAAATCAAGTTTAGCTGTCATGGACTATTTTATGGCAATATTCTGAGACAAATTAAATGCATCAAATCAAAATATATCCCCCGTTTTGGGGTGATTAATCACATTAATGATTGAGATTAACAAAAATTAGGTGCTTCATCGTGTGTTAATTAATCTCAAAGTCAGTTGGAGAACTATATATTCTAGTCACTAATCAAGAATATGGCTTCTGTCAAATCGGAAAACAACTTTGCTCAAAAAGATTGCAAGAATTATTCTTTTGACTTGGAGATGGAATTATAAAATGTGTCACACAATCGCATGAAATTTTATAAGCCTATCCAGAAGGTAGTCAACAACATGATTTTGGTATATTGGTGAACTTCTCGAATTCAAAGAATATTAACCAAAGCACATAATCCTTTTTGTTTTATATGAAGGAACAAACTATTATCCTTAAAGACTTCCATTTTATATGACCTTTGATTATAAACTAAGTGACATACGTTGAAGTTTTATGTTTAAAGTGTTATCTGAACTATCTATTAACATAATCGTCTTTGTGTATGATAACCAATTAGCCTTTTATTTAGTGGCATATTTTTGGCACAGTTGCATCGCTTTCATGGGCATTGAATATAGACACATACGTTTAGCATCCGTGCATAAGAAATGGTGTATATTGTGATTTTTAAAATTTTTTTTAGTGGCGTCGACACATGTTGGCAACCAAAGACAATATTGTTGTAATGAATGTAATATATAATTAATCGGGACAACTTTCGTAAATATCATATCGTCCTAAAAAAGAATAACCAGTATACACGCTAGTTTATCGTAGTTTAATGCCAAAAATATGAGTTGAATTTGCAGAAACTTCACCGATAAAAAGTTTTCAATTTGTTTAGCAGTAGCTACTAGCAAGCTGGCATGAGAAACCCAAACAGTCTAATACTCTAGTGTTGAAGGAGTTGAGATTCTCTCCGGATCATTGTTCTGAATCCAATGATCAAGAAATTTAGACCTTTCAAATTAAATCTAACGGTTGTCATTAACCAATTTCATTAGTCCACCTCACATAAAATAAGGGCCCGAATCCCCCTCTCTTGAACGGTCTGAATTTCTTGATCTTAAGCTCCGGACCGTGAGATCCGGAGTGTATCCCAACTCGTGCAATCTAATACTGAAGTGCTCATTATCCATATTTTTTTTTCAGGTTTAGAGTTATGAAAATGATAAAAAGTTTTAGTTTATTTGAATTGAATATGTGCAAGAAAAGTTGACATTTTGTTTCTTTTAAACGTTGCTGTTATCCAGTTAACAGTTTATTGCAGCTGACCAACAACATCATATGCATGCCGTGTCCAAGAGGCAACAAAGTTAGACTTGGTCGATCTGTTGACTCAGTCGACCATTCTCCTCTCTTGCTAATCCAACATATGTAATGGATTTGGTCATCCACTGTTCTTTTACTTTTGACACCAACAAATACTGTTTTTGTAGGATTATATTCGAACTGTGTTATTCACCACCGCCGGTGAATTCTTACACATTGTTCAGTGATAAAAAATGATTAATCAGATGTTTTTTCTTATTTTTTGCATGAGTTTGTTGATGTAAGTTACTAGGAAGAGGGTGGGAGGGATTCAAAAATTCAAGTGTGCGCTTTAACAATTACTTGATGATTACGATTGCCACGCAGATAAGTGATTAATAAATATTAAGGACGGGCAAGACATGATTAATTAACTGTTAATTGTAGGACATGAATACATCATCTTAGTACTGATTCATTGTTCGCAAAGAAAGTCATGATATCTTAATTAATTAATCACATGGGCCATGGGAATCTTACAGCAATTAGTGGTTTGGTTAATTTGGTAATTAGCGGTGTAAACCATGTAACGTGGGTTGCTTTTGGTCTAGACACGAAAACGACGTCGAACAGGTAAAACGCGTCCGGCAATCCCATTACCTCATGTCTAGCCATTAACTTTGAATGAAATGATTATAACTTTGTTTTTTTAAAGAGAAGAAATATTAAACTTGAGGAATGACTTGTAGCTTAAGTAGCTAACTATTTTTATCTTGACATGTATTTGAGGCATTGTTTCGTTTTTGCCATTCTTAATATCCTCTCTCTCTCTCTCTCTCTCTCTCTCTCTCTCTCTATATATATATATAATATTCAAACATTAATTCACGTAATTAATTAACGGTAGAATTTTCATATTTTGTTGTCCTAAAAATAACAGAATTTTGTATGCTACTTTGAAAAATGAGATACTCTAAGTGTTTTAACTGTTAAATTTTTATATAAAAATACAAAAACGAATGATCAAAATACATATAATATCTTATACTCCGAATCATCCTAAATTTTTTTTGAAAAGCAAATATCCATATTGTGCAATCTGAAAGAAAGTGAATGGTTTGAGCCTAGATAAAAGTGAGTGAAGGAGTACTGGAAGGAAGGATACGTTATATTGATTGTTTGGCCAAGTTGCATGCATGAGGGAGGGAGGGGGAGAGGGACAAAGTCAACACGGTATTGACTTGCGCGGCTGCGGCTTTCTAGACCCTTTCGTTTTCTGTTTTTATTTTGTCCAAAAACAAAAATTAATCATTTGACATTAATATTCACTTCACACCTTATATCCAAGATTGAATATTGAGATCGGTCACTTAGTATTATGTTGTAGTGATATTTTTTTTTATTTGTAAGTAAAAAATCTTATGTTAGATTTTCGTTAAAGATAAATTTGAACATATTATTGATAGCTTATTATGAGGCTTAACTCACTCCCACACCTTATAGTATAGATAATATCATTTGTTAAAAAAAATAAAAAATATTGCAAAGATTGAACGTTGAGATTAAGATTAAAAAGCGTAGCTCTTGGGGTCATTTGAACCCGATGACCCCACCTTATCTCTACCATTGGGAACAATTCAACAAAAACTTAATTTCTTGTCAAATTATATTGAGCGTTGCATGATACTTATAGCTCAAATTGTCAAGAGCATTTACCTATGCATCTGAGGGGGTTGTTGACCCTTCTTGTAATAATTTAAGTGAAGAAAAAGAATAAAAACATCCTTAATTATGAAGTTAAGAAACAAATACAGCCTTAAAACAATTTATAAATCTCTGCCGCCGTTACAAATGGCATATCTCACTGTACAAAACTAATATTAATACTATTCGATTAATGGCAGCATGCATGCTTAATTAATAGGAAACATACCTCTAATTAAACAGAAGTAACAAAAATCTCAAAGCTTTAGAGATAGATCGGGTGAAGACGAACTTGTACTATTTCTTGGTTCCATGCTTGTTCCTGTATTCATATTTGGATTTTGGGCTAATTGATGACCTCCAGCTTCCTCACCCACCTGTCGGAAACTCCCGGGCCAAAACATGCCCACATCATCCTCGTCCATGAACATCGGCACTCCAATATAGCCCTGATGAAACCTTGCTACGCCTCTTGTGTCGGGGACAGGGAACCTCTGATGATCTGATGTTATCATTGTGTTTTGGTGCACTGCAGAATGAGCTTGGATACCAAGAGACCGGAACGCTGAAGCGGCAGAACCATGTAAGGGGAGAGATGCCAAGCTAGTATACCTATCTGGAAACATTCCCATACGCATAGCACGCTTGGCCATTGTCCTCTCCCTCTTATGAGCATTCTGATGGCCACCGAGTGCCTGTGAGCTATAGAACTTACGCTTACAGTAGTTGCATGAGAATACCCTTGGGATTGTTCCTTCTGAAGTAGGGGGTGCAACTGCTTCACTGCTAGTCTCCCCCGTGCCCTTCAATTCAGTGTCGCCTGAGCTAAACTGGAGTGTCAAGTCAAGGGAAACAGGTCCGGGATCTTGTTGTTGATGGTTCTGATTTGTGAGGCACGAAGAAGTGGTTGTGCTGTCCTTAGAGGGGTCAGGAGATTCTTCTTGCAGAGGTATGCTCGAAGTTACTTGGCCCGTGACTTCTGAATCATTTTCAAATTCCAAGTTCAAGTTTTGTGTTAACATGTTTCAGCAGGACAATGAAGTCAAGGACTTCGTTTCTTCTATATGAGCGTAGTCACACGAAGAGTTCAATAAACTTTTCTTAGAGTGTCGTTGTTAGCTTGCCCTTCACCTGCAATCCTGAATGCCAAAATGAGTCATTTTCCATGACAAAGTGGGATTCTTTCTTCTCCTCTATTTCATAGCGACAGAATTTGAAATGGAGGATCAATGATGTTAGAAATTGAGGACTCGAGCTCCTTCCTTTCGAGCCGGTTACACGTGTGCCCTAAATGAGAGAAACCAAATGGAAATTATGGAACCACCAAATAATTGAAACCCCTTCGATCTCCACCGTCGATTCCCCACCTCCACAATCGTGACCGTTCCGAGAACATGATGCAGGCAAAATCATGTCTCTTTTCACAGCCACTTGCCACGTAGCGTGAGTGATTGTCAATGGAGCTGCGCTGGTATCTCATTTAGGGCACACGTGTAACCGGCTCAAAAGGAAGGAGCAGGATGCATGTCAAACACAAAAGAAAACATTTCATGTCGTCTAATAAAGACCAATTAATCGATCATCAACTTAATTATCACAGTCTTGAGAACATTTTAACATACAAAACACATTCCATTGTATCTGCAACTAGGAAATTCGATAGTTGAACATTTTCACATAAAAAATATGATCGACAATGTTCCATCTGCATACTACATAACTGAAACTCATAAAACAATTTTATCAAACACAGTACACAGCTTCCTAGTTCCTATAGAATATGGGGTTTTGCAAGCTCTGAACGTATGAACATTCTCTAAAAGTAATATATTATGACTTGGAAACAGATACGTGGTTTTGGAAACTGAACGGAGCTTGGAAGGCATTGGGATTCAAACGCACAAGGTGTCCAAGAACATATTTGTCACACTGAAGTTATACAAAGAATAATTGTGCTCTGGGGTGCCTTTGTGTCTCTTTGGTCAAAGAGGATATCCGTCCTCTAAAAGGCGGGGGAATCATCAGTTATCTCCAAGTAGTCTGAAGCTATAGTGAGGAATCAGTAAACCAACGGCTATTAGTTATCTCTAAGTGGCATTTAAATGGAAAGACGGAACAACAATCCACCAAGTATTGAAGACGAGAGGTTCAAATAATTGGAGAACATGATGAAAATCTAAACCTCCAGGAGCATCACTAAGAATGGAAGAGGAAAGTCAACAAATTAGGAAATCGATATGTTGATATATGCTTCAACAAGTTACCTTAAAACGCAAAGCAAGAACAAATTAACAACGCAATCGCTGTTGTTCAGTGTGATTGTAAGTGATAATCACATCATTGGAGTATAACATGTGTGGCCATACATTACAAAAGCCCCGATCGAGGAGACATCCATACTTTCAAGTTGTCAATAATACATAATTCTTCAACATGACAATACTAGTTAGCATATATGAATTTTGTTATCATTGCTTGTCACCTTTCACTTTTGGTAATCTACCACAAACAGTTTAGTTTCCTGTAATAATATGCATCCAAACCAAAAGGTCCAACTTCAGAAAAAAGCATAATCCTTTCTTTATTTTGGGGAAGAGAGAAAAGCCACCAGGAAAATCACAATACAAAGAAAACCAGAAAGCATGGACTGGATGGATATATACAAAAAAATAAATGAGAAGCACAAAATCAACCAGAACTCACCAGGTATGTACAATTGAATACCAACATGAAATTGGAGACGCGGGGTTAGGCCAGTATGCTTCCCCTTGCACCAAGTTCGAATCGTCCTCTTCGTAGATTAGAGTAGTTTAAAATCTTGTGAGGAAAAATACTAACAAAACTAGAAATTTAGAAAAGATAGCATGTAGTATGTTGAATTGCAGTGATTAAACAGTCAAAAGCCAATAAAAAGAAATCGGATTAAATTATGAGCAGCAACCAACCTTGGACTAAACTGACAGAATTCAAAAGCACACAAAAGCTGCTATAAAAATCAAATCTAGAGAGAGAGAGAGAGAGAAAGAGAGAGTTGATACCTGTATAGTATTGAAGGTGCAGGCAGGCAGGCTAGCCATCAGCTATGGGTTAGGGACATGGGTACTGCCTGTGCGTTCATGTCACTTGGGAAAGTGCAAGTGAAGTACCACCAGCACCACCACAAAGAAAGGACTAAAAACAGGCATCTGGGTTTTTTATTGTGTATTTTGATTTTTACCAGAATAGTAGTGGGTAAAAGAAATTAAAAGAGAAATAAATGAGGATAAGATGAGGGAAGGAAGAGAAAGACAGATACAGAGAAAAGTTGTACAGTTAAGGAAATAGAGTGCCGGATATTTTTGCGAAGGTTTTGAGAATTTGTAAATTGTGTTCATTTATTTTATATGTTAGAAATTATTTTAAATATTTTTATTTAAAAATAATATAAATAATATTTAAAAAAACAGATTGCACAATGTACGATAAATAAACACGATTTACGAATTTTTAAAATTCTCAACAGTTGTGGTTACTGTTGGGAAAAGAAGGGCTGTGGTTACTGTGGTAGGAGAGAGAGATGGGGACGATGATGGTGTCAAGTCAGACAATTTTACAGAGAGAGAGAGAGAGAGTGATAATTCAGATAATATATTATTAATCACTCTATTTTTGTTGAATTTTGAGCTGCTCTTCCTTCCAGTCCCCAACAGCTGACCTATTAATCAATCAATGAGATGAGATGAGAGAGAAAGACCGAGAGGAGAGAGAGAGAGAGGAGCAACCAAAGAGACAGAAACAGCAAAGGGGTACTTGGGGTACTTCAAGTCCCACATAAAAGATATTTGCAGAGACCAGTGTCTCTTTGCTGTTTCTTCTCTTTCTTCTCTTTCAGTTTTAAAACAAGGAAAATACTAAGAAGGTGAAATTTTTTATGAACTTTCTATAAATTATTTGATGCTTCATGTTTTTACACAATTTTTGTATTAACGTTATAAAATTTTATGTAAAAAATATGAAATGACTAAAAATTCATTAGGAATTTTGTTTTTAAAAAGTCTGATTATTATTTCTCTTCAAACAAAAGAGGCAGATAGTTATAAGTTCATATCATCGACCCGGATATTTCTTATTTTTATCCCATTTGCCTGTTGTTTTATTTAATTTGTTTTTATCATTTTATAAATACATGTGCTTACCTTGAATGTGGGTCCACAAATTTCTTGCAAGATCTCATCTTGATTTGTGAAATGACCGAACTAGATCACAAAAATGATTAAAAAAAAAGGCGATGTTTTTCTTGAAATTCGATAACGACATTGTCGGAAGATAGATTTTTCAATGCGATCGGAACACGTATATTATGTATTCTGATACATATGATGAGATATATGTGCTAAAAGGTTAATCGTTTAAAAAATAAAACTTCTCATCACTTATATAAAAACACATGATGTATCACTCATGAACCGATCATAATAAAAAATTTCTCCCGTTAGGATAGTAAGTTTTAAATGAATCAAATTTTCATCACTGCTCGTTATTTCTTAATTATCTACGACACGTGGTGTATTACTTTGTGTTTCGATTATATTGAAAAATATCTCCAACTTAACTGCTCACCCCTTTCACTAACTCCAAAACCTTTAAAAAATACCAAATAATAAAGAAATGGCCGACCACTTGAACGTGGCGCTGACACGTGTAATCCACGACAAGAAAAGTTGTAATAGTCTCCACTTGCTTTAAAGAAATTTTTTAATATACCAAAATACATTCTTATACAATAAGTGTGTAATACAATTGGTTGAAGTTTTTTTATTTAATTACTTGTATCATTTTGACGACGACAAAAAAAAAAAAAAAATTTATATCATAACACTTAATATAGCAACCGTGTTCACACAAAATATCTCCTCCCTTAGGTTGGCGGTAGAAACTAGAAAGAGCACTGAGCACCATAATTTAAATATAATAATTGTGAGATTAAAGCACGTTACTGTTTGTTTAGTGTGTGATTTCGATTTGTATTATTTTTTTAATATGCTTCGAGTTCTTAACCATTATTCTAATATCTGCTTCCTGTTTGATTTATACTTTTATGTTCTATGATTAACAATTTAACACATGGGTTTTTGGCAAAACAAAACGTTACTCAAAACTCTGGCCTAGGAAGAAAAAAGCACTTTGGGCTTTTACAAAAAGTACTTTATCACTGGGCTCATAATTGAGGTGACAGAAACTAAGGCTAAGTATCATGTACATTATGCGTTTGCAAAAAAATAAATAAATAATTGTTTGGTTGGATGAGATTATCGTCAAGATTACAAAGTTGGGCTAGCGGCTCAATACTGTACTAATTTAACCACTTACATAGTTCGAGAAATGTAGATTTTATCATAATAGTTTTATGTGCAATTAACAGTAGAACCATTCAAATATAAGTAATTTTATTCTATCAAGTTTTTATGTGCGATTGCATGCTTCAACAAACATGAAGACTAACATGCCATTGACGAGCTACATATAATGGTCAACAAACTTCTTCGGGGTATCCTACTAATGTGGCACTTATGTTAGAAATATCAACGTGAGCTAAGTGAGATTAAAATACAAAAAATTATTATATTTATACTAAAAATGCTCTACAGGTGGTGTAGCAGATATTTTCGACCTGATAACTCTTTAGACCAGCATGAAACGACTGAGAGCACGATACACTCAAACTTTTGTCTATGAGGGTCGTGTACGGTGTCTCTATCCCAAGTTTTATGTGTTCCTACCCTAAGTTTTAAGAAATTTTAACGAAAAGTTTATGGTATTGTGTATTTTAACAAAAAATCATATTTTTACATTAAAAATCAATTCTGATACTATTTATTTTACCATTTATTTTATTTTTATCGTTAAAACTTAAAATTTTCAAGTATTTATCATTAATTTTTCTCAGTTTTACTCAAACGGTGAGTGGAATATTTAGTCATGACTTTTATCATCAAACTTTTGGGTACTAGTGAGTAGTGATGGAGCCAAGTACACAACAGAACACTGCAATTCTGAAATCTCCAGATGCACTAATTGCAAATCGCCTGGTCAAGGTCAAGCCACCCGTCACCTGCCATCCCCACATCCACTTGCGTGTGAAGCAGAGCAGGAAAATGGCAGAGATGACAAACTTAAAAGCCACGGCTGACGCATTCACATCTGTCCATTTCGGTGTAAGAGATGTGCTATCTACACAATTTTATTTATTTTTCATATGTTTTTTTATTAATTTTTATTATCTGATTTTTTTTTTATTTATTCGATTTGACAGTTAAAAATTAAAAAGATATGTTAAAAGTAAAAAATGATGTAGATATCATACCCCTTCGTGTAAATGAAACCCCGAAGAGTTACAGTAATGATCCAGAAAGAATGTGTTGAGAAATATTATAAAAATTGAATTAAAAACATAATATAACAAAAAATATACAAATAATCATATTTCGTAAGAGTCTAATTAGCATTTCTGCCATGGATTCAGAAATGTGGTGAACCTCCTTCGTGCAGATTCTTATCTTGTGGCCAGGACTTGCGCTGCAGTCTACAGTAGTGTGTCTGGTCAAATACTGCACGCAACCCACTGACTTACTGGCCGAAAATTGCAACTCGTGACTCTAAAATATGCAAGTTCAACTAAGTCATCTAATTAATCACTAATTTAACAAGCCAACATTAATTTAATAATTTCAAGCCCAACCAATATGACAATAAATTTTTAATTATAATATAAATACGAGTGATATATTATGTGTTTTTATGTAAATAAGAATAAATTTTATCTTTTAAGTTATTAATTTTTTAACACACATATCTTATCATTTATATAATAACACGTGATGTATCATCTCGTGTGCCGGTCACACTAAAAAAATCTCTCCAACATGACAAAGATGTGAAAAAGAACGTAAATTTAAAGCTTTATTTACATATTCCGGTGCAAATAAATTTACATCCCATAATTAAAAAAAATTAAAAAAATAAATATAAGTACTCATTTCAAGGCATTTTGCTTGCCCTTAGACAGGCCGACAAGCTTCTATTTAGCCCTACCACTAATTATCACTTGATCTTAATTACGAAAGTCACAAATGGAAAATGCAAGTACTCAACTCAAGCGATATGCTATTTTCAACTCTCATCCTGATAGATTTTTTAGTGTACTTGGAACATAATGTTGTACACTACGTGTTATAAATATTGAGAAACATATCTTAAAATATGACATAATCAACTTTATCGTTCACTTATAATATAACACGTGTTGTATAGTTATACCATCATGTATTTCAGATACACAAATATTTCTCATCATGTATCTCAGCTAGTTTCTTGGACATATTCTTACAATCTCACAAGAATGCCAATTAATTAATTTGGTTACTTAAAGACTTTGATATTCTTGCTTTGACTAGCTATATGCTTTTGCCCCACTAATTAATGGGGTATCTTCTTGTCGCAATACTAATCATTTTTATCTTGCTTTGGCAGTTGACTATGAGATTTGCTACGTTAATATTCCAAATCTTTTCATCTAGAATCTCTTATCTCGTTATTATTCTAAGATCATAAACAAGAAGATGAAATTAATTAACAGCCACCCTTAACTATATACCACAATTAATTATTATTTTTAGCCGGAATAGTTATTTAATACTTTAGCATTTGAGGTAAACATTTTCGTTTAAATTTAATAAAATTTCTTATCTTTTGACACATTTTTTAAATAGAACACCTTATTGTACTAGGTATAAAACGTCAATAATGGTGGGTTAAGTTGATAAGGATTGTTCTATTTGATAGATCAAGACCTTAGGTTCAAATTCCATTGCTGATAATCTCTCTTGATGAGTGATTTGTAAACACAAAAAAGAGAGACCAAGACTTGGGGTATGCTCTTGTCTAAAAATTGAGTGGCCTCCCTTCCCCTAAGCTTTTTGTAATAATAAAGAAAAAAGATGATAACGTCCGAGATCGATAAAGTGATTGAATTGCATATGGGGAATATCTATAT